GGGGAGAACCAATAATGCACCATAAGAAAAACAAAAACTGCCTCAACAGGACAAAAAAAATTTAGAACAGCTAAGGTGGTCAACAAAAAAGAATTATTACCAAGGTAAAGGCCAAAGCCTAGGATAGCTTACCCTTGACTGCAGGGAAATTGAAGTGGAACAAATATGTTATGCCCAAACCAAAAGAGTAACCAGGTAGCAGCCAAAGACTGAAGTGAACACCCTTAACTTCAAGGAAAGGAAATCTTGACAAATAAGGCATGTCTAAATCAAAAGACTAACAGGTTATTAGACACAGGTTAAAGCTGATCTCTGTTTCATTTAACTTTAAATAGTTCATTTGGACCAAGCTGGGGTAAACAACCTCTTTCATTCACCAACAGTTGCAGTGGCTGTATGCGTTGTATAAACTGTATGTAACCTCAGTATACAGCACTGTGTTTGGGCAGCAGGCAGAGAAATTCACGCTTAGTAACCTCTAAAGAGATATGTCTGAATGTAATAACCTTTCTTAGCAATAATCTAAATGGTGAAAGGAAAGAAAACTACACTATAAATTAGAAAACAGTAGTATACCCTCAAAAGAAAGGCTGAGGTCATATACAGCACCTATATAAAAACGGAGGAGAAAATATTGTAATACAAGCTAGCGTACAAAAACATCAGGACCAGAAAGGCGAGGATACTGTCCAACACATATCCAATGACATATCAGGGGCCCAGAAGCCATAGAATAGCCTGCCTGGCCATGTATTAGGACAGCGTTTCTCAACCTTTTTGCAGTCAAGCCACCCTTTAAAGTTATGGACAGTCCCGAGGCATCCCATTCTAAAATGTAAACAAATATTCTAATAGTTTTATATAATGCAGCAACATCCACACACGTAGGACACCCAACATTGGAGGTGATTTATTCTTCCAAACCAAATACACGTTTGCACACTGGTACTAACTCGTTTTCCAGTGTTTCTCTTCTTCCTTTTCCATCACTGATTTCATTTGACCCCAACACTCATGGAGAGGGGTGGGGAGGGTCAAACAAGGATGCTGTGCAGGCAACCAACAGCCTCCTTATCAACTACAGATGTCATTTGTTGTCATGATGCTGGCGGCTAGAAGGATGTAATGGTGTACAATGAAAACCCAAGGCTTTGTGCAACTAAAAGGCAGGCTTGTTTCACCCGCTTGCTTGTATACACGTTTAGGCAATTTTTAGACATTTTGCCAAGGCACCCCAGGGTGCCAAAAGACTGTATTAGAATGATTCTCTGAATCAGCCGTCCCATAAAAGGTAAAATTTCTAAGAATGCATGTACTAACACTTGAACGACAGTCCGATACAGGACAGGTAGGAGACCTAAGGAAGTCTCGCCAAGGCTTCAAGGCTAGCACTATCCCCTTGGAGAAGAACTCTGCAGCTGGGTAACAGAAAGTTCTGCCTGCTGATCTTACAGAGTAGTACAGGACTTCTATAGATATTTTCAGGGAGAAAGTAAGGATGCATTCTTACACAAGACTTAAGGAGTAGGGAAGTGCATACATCCCTAAGGAAAACCCTTCCAAGAGCAAAGAAAAGGACAGGGATAATTCCCAACAGTTAGCAGGACAGGGTGGTCTGAAGGATCAGTGTTGTACATTATCCAATTTCTAGCTTCTAGGAGGAGCAATGCAAAGTTCTGAAGGACAACACAAGCAGGGAGACCATGTGAAAAGTAACTTAAAAGTTTCACAAGGTAAATGGAAATGATCTGCTATGCTCAAAGAAGTGTACATAATATGATCCTTGGCTTGACAAAAACTCAGAAAAGCTAGAACACAGACTCTTTTCAGCAGGTAGTCTCCAGGGCATACCCACAATTGAGAAGCTAGGAAAAGGGGGTACTGCTATAGACATATCAGTCACTACTGTGGATAAGGTGAAAAAATACCAGGGGTGTAGCAATGCCATAAGAGGCAGTCATACAGGGATGCCAGATCCTAATATTTAGAAGGGAGTCACAAAGGAGGCTTGAGCATCTGAACTGACAACATATAACCCAGTAGGGAAAATCAGCAGAACAACTAGAGGCCACTAGAATAACAAGGGCAGTCAAATATGCCTTTAAAGGGCGAGTAAGAAAAAAAAAAATCGTTTTGCACATCCTCAGTGTGTCGGGCATAAAGCTAAAGCGACATTATGACCATTAACAGACCCCTTCAGATTGTCAGGAGGAATCTGTGAATCAAAAGTTGTTTCCAATCTGTAGAGAAGGCTCCTGAGAAGCAACAGCTCTAAATGACCCCATTCTTAGGACTGGTCCTCCAATTACAGGGTAGAATGCACTGTATCAGAGTATCAAGAACGCCTTGTAAGCCTGAATCATATAGAATTTTTGCAACTCTTTTGAACAGATTGCTGTATTATTTGTGTGGAGACATAAAAAAGGCTATATTATGGGCCTTGTACATATGGGTTGTCTCAAGGTCCTGGGACCTTTAACACTATACGGTCATCCACATCAATGTTGAAAGTCTCTGTTCCTTTTAGGAAGAGAACTCACCCATAGCTACAATAGAGGGGTAAGGGGTAAGGGTCTGCTGTTGCACTGAGATTGTCCAGTGACAACCATTATTTATTTAAATGCGAGAATGTAACTGTCATTTGAAGAATGCATGAGTGCAGGAATCGATCTTGCAAATAATAAACTTTTTCCAGAATTTTCTCCCTCAGACACATCTATACCTAAAAAGGAAGGGAGGATTGGCATGACCTGATGTGGCAACAAGACTAGTATCTTAGGCAAGTATGTCCATGTATATTATGTTCCATTGGTATATGAAACCTAGTATTACTTATATTTTCTCTCTAGAGTCATGGAGTGCCTCGTTTACTGTACTGCATGTTGGGAAAGCATGTTCTTGACTTTTGTATTGACAAGCTGAATCTTTCAAAATAAAAGGAAAAAAACGAAAAAAAAAAAAACTTTCCATGCACTTTTGATCACCAAAGACTGACTGCAATTATTCTTGCTGTGTTTTAACCACTTGACCTCTGGAAGGTTTTACCCTCTTCATGACCAGGGCATTTTTTGCCATTCAGCACTGTGCTACTTTAACCACTTGCCCTCCAGAGGATTTACCCCCCCCCCCCCCCCCCCCTTTCCTGTTTTTTTGCGCTATAAAAAAAAAAAACATTTTAAAATTTTAAAAAAAAAAAAAAAAACAAATGAAAGAAAAGTTTTGTTGACTTTTTGCTATAAAACATATCCAGTTAAAAGAAAAAAAAAAAAAAAAAAAAATCAAATCAAATTCAACATAAATTTAGGCCAAAATGTATTCTGCTACGTCTTTGCTAACAAAATCCCAATATGTGTAAATTAATTGGTTTACGTAAAAGTTATAGAGTCTACAAATGGCTGGATATATACTTGAATTTATTTATTTTTTAACTAGTAATGACGGCAATCAGCGCGGCAGGCATTCTGACAATGGGGGAGTGGGGACGGTCGGACTGCCACTGACATTCCCAGTGACACTAATACAGTGATCAGTGCTAATAAAAAAGCACCAACACTGTACTAATGACACTGGGCAGGAAGGGGTTAACATCTGGGGTGATCAAAGGGTTAGCTACGCGCTTCACATTATGTGCTGTGTGCAGTTTTACTATGCAAGTATGCTGCTTTGTATTGTACAGTCATGCAACACTGTACACAAATAAAATATTTTTTTTTTTCACACAATTAAGCTTTCTTCTGGTGGTATTTGATCACCACTAGGTTTTATTAATATATAAATGAAAAAAAGACTGATAATTTTGGGAAAAAACAATATTTTCTACTTTCTGTTCTAAAACATATCGAATTGAAAAAAAAAATTAATTTCTTTGTAAATTTAGGTCAAAATGTATTCTGCTACAAAAAAACAAAAACAAATCTCAATAAATGTATAATTGGTTTGTACTGAAATTTAAGCAGCTATGACACTATACTAATAATGGCGTTGAAATAGTTATAGTAGGTCAGTGATAGTATGGTGACCAATCTGGAGCTAGCTGACACTGGCTGGGAGGGTCACTAAATGACATCAATAGTGACACTAACACAGTGGTCAGTGCTAATACTGTACACGGTCACTGCACTAATGACACTGGCTGGGAAGGGGTTAACATCTAGGGGCAATCAAGGGGTTAACTGTATGTCTAACAATATCTATTATGTGCTGCTTTTACTTTACTACCAGATCGCTTTTCACAGTACACAGAGTTCTGTGTTTTTGTAAACACAGAACTCTGGTGTGTGATTGGACACAGGTGGTCATGTACATGTGCCTGTACCTGCCGCTCGCTTGCAGTATATTTGCTGTGAAGGGTCAGTAGGTGGTTAGGGAGACCACTAATAACAAGAAGGTGCCCAAAAAGGAAAAACTTTCCTGTAAAGTAATATCTAAATACTTACCTCTCCTATGACAAAAATATCATCCCTTGGAAGACTCTTCAAAAGATCAGCAATTCTGGGGGTGTCAGATTCCTGGTGCCCCACTAGACTCAGTGGCTCCTCCCACTGACTCCTGTGTCACTGTGTTCTATAATGCAGTTATTAGGAGTTCAACAGACTGAACCACTAAGCACAGCAGGGAAGCAGGGGTTTGGCACTTGTTAGGTGTCATTAATGACAACCATTTATCCACAGATGAATGGAGCATATGAACTGAGCTTTAAAGCCTGGCTGCCTAAATGCTGAGGTAGGGCACTGCTGCGTCTCCCACATTCAGTAGTCCACTGGTCAGAATGAGCCCTTCTGCTGTATAAACATCTCCAAACAGTAATTTTCATATATGGAACAGCGATAATTATATATGGCTTTCTAATATAAGGGGAAAATAGTAAAATTTGAGTGCTGCAACTATGCTACTTTTGTTTTAAAAACTAATTTCCAAACACAAGTCCAGTGATGCTATTGTTACAAGCATAGGTACTACCAACAAAAATCCACTAGGTCTAGGCTGAAATCTCTATATACCTTTTTCTTTTGAATGGAGACTTTGGCATGTCAGCCACAGGGATCATCTGCTCTCCTGGGCGCACCCACATTATAGGACCATCATCGCTTTCTTTGCGGCTTTTTAGCTGCAGGCTTGAATGAGTTCCCCACGGCAAAGTGCGCTGTCATTCAAGTGAAATTTTGACACAATCAGTTTGAACACATTGCTGTTAAACATGAAATCAAACAGTAGCAAGAGTTACTTGTATTATTTATACAATATTAAAGTCCCATTTACATAGTGCCCTTGGGTTAATTGACACAATTATAAAACCAACAGGTCTCGCTAACACAGGCTGTAGAGAGAACATTTTCTGCCAAGCAATAAAAGTTCACATGGGGAGAGAAATTCACTACAAGTACACTCCTTTCCCTATATTCTAGTATTTTGTTATGTGTGTACATTGCTTATAGGCAGGGTGGATTTGATTTAAAGCACTAGTGAAAAGGCTCGATTCAAATCAATTTTTAACGAGCAACTGTCATCTGTCCTGCAGTGGCTCCTCCTTGTTGACTGACTCGCTGTTGACTCACCAACAGTTCCATTCACTTTAATGGGACGGCCGGTGATGTGGAAGTGACACAACAAGGTGAGGGATGTGGTGGCAGAAGGTGAGTGGATGCCCGCTAACAGGCGCTGCCATGATGGATCTAAAATGACAGGTGCTCTTTAAATGTAAGGAATCCGACTCATTCTTGCTGGCAGTTATAATCTTTAATATTTGCAAACCAAAGGAAGGTTTCCTTTTTAGAATATTAAGCGGTCAGGTTAGTAAAACAGCGATAACAGAAACTATTTTAGGTTCATAGGTTAATCATACATAGTTAAAGAACTACTCAAATTCTTTTATTTCATGTTTATTTTCATGGTTACTGTGAAATAATGTGAATGCACCAATGCAGTGCATGTTACACTGTTCAACAAATTTTTATTTTTTGCCAGTTTTGGAAACAAAAGGATCCATTTCTTAATGAATTTCACATTCTGAGTTCAAATATAACAATGAAATTTGTCAATTGGCTCTAGTTTTTCTGTAAACGGAAAGTTTTCTACTATAGGCGTAATGACTACATAATGCACAATAATTATATAGATAGATGTCTTTCCACAAATATAAAGCAAGTGATATTGACTACATAACAAAGCCTAAATGGCATAATATATTGCATAGGATTACCAAGAAAAATTATAGCCATAAGCTAAGTTGAATCATTTTAATACTTAGGATTCTCACTAGTTTTGTCTTCAGTTTGTGTCGGTTTTGCTTCTCTTGGCTTTTCTCTTGTGTTCGAGGAAAGGGCTATCTCTTACAACTGCACGTGACTACACGCTTCAGGTTCTTCCTCACTTGACTCAACCACGAAGGATTCTGGTGCTTTAGGAATTGGTAGCCCCTCTCCATGAGGAACTGGACGTATTGCCGATGGAATATTTGGATAGTGCACAGATAACTTTTTCTTCTAATTTAGCCCTTTTACAATTGGAGGCACCATACAAAAGTAACAATTACTAACATGATCTGTTGGCTCTCTCCAAATCATTGGCACAGCGAAAGGCATAGATGCCTTTTTTCCATTCAACCATTGCTCCAGAGCTCTTGTCCTGGTCTCCTATCATGCAGCCAATATACAAGTTGTAGGCTTTCTTAATCATTCCTGTTATCCTCCTTTTTTGTGAGATATAAAAGTTATTTCACCGCAGATATAGCAGAAATTATCTGCTTTATTCACACAAGTTCGAGGCATTACTGAGTAGCCTATATAAGCATAAAACGAAATGTAAAGACGCTGTCGAACTACAATCAGCTACAGATACTGCAGCTTTTATGCAGTGAAGTGATGCAATTGAAGGCTAATATTGCATCATCTTAGTATACATGCAATTTTCTATTGGTCACCAGTATCAATTGCGCAATATGCAGCTGAAGTTGCATCATCATTTTGAATGGCTTACGTCATTAGATGGGTGAATATATCATGGAAACTAGAGCCAATCAACATTTTTTAGGGTCATTTTCATTTTCAGCACCCCAAAATTATGTAAGATTAGCTAATTTTATGCCCAAAACTTTTTACCTGTTGAACAGTGTTATCTCAGCTTGCAGAGCTTGGATTCATTGAATGAGTTTACCAAAAATGTAAATATTGCAGAATATACAGCCTCATGCTACACAACTAAGCGCCATTTCATGCTGAATAAACTCAATTATTAATGTATCTTAAATAGAAAACTATGTTTAGATTTTTACTCCAAAAGCATTTTATGAAAAATCCGATTTAAAATAAGAAAAATCCGATTTAAAATAAGAAAAATCCAATTTTTTTTTCCAAATCATTGATTTTTATCCGCCCTGCTTATAGGGCATGCACAGTCCAGTGTACATTTGCTTGTGCTCTCGGCTGTGGAGAGAATGGAGCTGCCAGTGTAGAGGACAGCAAATCGAGTAGTAACGTTGTATGTGTCTCTACACCAGAACTTAGTATCATCTAACACTGAAACTTAACTCTAAAAATTCATTCCTAAAGTGGTTGTAAAGTTTAAACATTTTTTACCTTAATGGATTCCCGACATTAAGGTAAAAAATGTTTCAGTGTGTATACCGCCCCCCCCCCCCCCCCCCCTTCATACTTTCCAGCATCCTTCACTCAATGCAGCTCTGTGCTCATCTGCAACGGCTCTCTCCTCTTCTCCTCACTCTCACAAGCTTTGTTAAGAGCAAGCAGGAGCCATTGGCTTCCCCTGCTGTCACTCAAATCCTGTCTTGAGGAAGCAGGGGACGGGCCCGAGCCTTGCTCTGTGTCTACAGGTGCAGTCAGTGGGGCTTGCGATCAAGCCCGCACATGTGCCATGATAGGATATGGCTTTCTATGATGGCACACTAAGAGGAGGAGGAAGTCCATAAAGATGATCGGCACAACCGATGTTAATTCACACGTTTCAGCCTACACGGCCTTAATCATCAGTCATGATTAAGGTCGTGTAGGCTGAAACGTGCCAACTGACTGTATTCACGTACTGTATATTGTGGATTTCGGACTAAAAGCAGGATTTTGAGAGTGACATCGGTTCTGCAGATCACTTTTATGGAATATTACTTTCAGTTGTGCAACTACCAATCAAGCACCTGTGAGCTCTATTGATACAACACTTAATTGGTAGTAGAACGGGTCCTTGTTTTTGCTAAGAGGAGGAGCAACCAAGAGCACTGGTGGGCACCTAAGAGGAGGATCGGGCTGTTGTGTGCAATTCCATTGCACAGAGCAGGTAAGTATAACATGTTTGTTATTTTACAAATAAAAAAATGACTTCAATAACTCTTTAATGCATAAGGGTGAAAACCTTTTGAGTGCAGCTTCCCTGCATCCCCCCCCTCCCCATATATCTGAATCTGATCTTGATCTAGCACTGTGCCAGAGAGCAGCAGTTCTTTCCTGTCTCTCTCCTCACTGGACATGGAGGAGGAATTGGGAGCTGCTGGATCCTGCTGCTGTCAATCACAGCTGTGAGAAGAGAGCAGGGGGGTGGGGCTGAGTCACCCTGTGTGTGTCAATGGAAACACAGAGCCCAGCTAGAGACTGAGCCCGCAGAAGGGAGGAGGAGCCAGATGCATTGGCGGGGGACCCCAGAAGAAGAGGATCGGGGCTGCTCTATGCAAAGCCATTACACAGAAAAAGGCAAGTATAACATGTCTGCCATTTTAAAAAAAATCCTTTACAATCGCTTTAACACTGAAAAGACACACACACATATTTTATATATACACATATATATATATATATACACACACACACACACACACACACACACACACACACACACACACTTTGTTACTGGGACCTAGTGCTGTTAGTTGTAGTTCTGTGCATAACCTGATAAAGATATGGCAAAGATGAAGGACAAAGCGACACTTCCATAAAGTCTCACCATGAAGTTTATTCAGTCTTAAGCCATGTCCTCTGATGCATATTATTCCAGTTAGGCTTATTCATAAGGCTTTGTTCTTCCTTCTTGCCATACGTGTCTAATGGCATCAGCTCCAAAAGCCAGCACCCAGTGCAGAGATGGACCGGGGAATATGCTCAGGACTTAGAAAGGTGCAGTCCTTTCTTTGTGTTCACACTGATTAAAAGATCATTTAGTTGCAATAATAATAGTAAAAAAAAAAAAAAAAAAAAAATGGCTTTTTTGTGTTATTGGAAGAATTTTGAGAAATCAGATTTGTTTTAAAATATAGCTTCTTCATTATTAGGTAAATATAGCATTTTGACTGTTAAAAAATATGAAATACTACATATGGATATTTCATCTTTACCCACTTCCAGAAAGAAGTTGGAGCTCTAGGCTACATTCTACATATTTCCAGGCTAAACCCTTTGTAAGTAAAAAAAAAAAAAAAAAAAAAAAAAAGCCTGTTTGAAAGGAACAATGTCCCAACTTCACAAGAGATAAAAATCTTATACTTATCCCTCCTGCCTGCCACGTTCATACCAACAATCTGTTATTTCAATTGAGTGACTGAACGCAAACCACATGCACCGTCCATCTCTCAATATATATCCAAAAATACTAGTACAGTTTTCCTTTGTAATGGAAATAGGCAGACTGTATACAAATAATGATATCAACAGTTTATTCATTTGTAAGGTTTACAAAATTCCACACACACACCCATCCAACAAGTAAACAAGTCAGTAGTAAAATAAACTGAGCACAGGTAGATGAGACACAATCATCACTGTTACCTTTAGAAAAGAAGACTCCTCCAACATGTCCAGGAATTCAGGAAAGTAGTCCCCTACTTCCTCATCAACTGCTCCCACCAGACTGATCTGCCTCATTGCACCTGCTCTGTATGTACCATGAGAGTACGTCCGCTTTACCTGCACAAAACACAAAAAGAAATCCTAAGACACCTGGGATCAATTTTCTTGCTAGAACAAACCTACAGCAAGTCAAACTATTCAGTTTTCCAAAGCCACATTTTAAATAAACATTTTTGCCAGAAATGTCAAAATGTTAACACTTGCAACAGAATAACATATTAAAGTACACTATATTGCCAAAAGTATTGGGACACCCTCCAAGTCATTGGATTCAGGCGTTCCAATCACCTCCATGGCCACAGGTGTATAAAATCAAGCACCTAGGCATGCAGACTGCTTCTACAAACATTTGTGAAAGAATGGGTCACTCTCAGGAGCTCAGTGAACACAATTGTGGTACTGTGATAGGTTGTCACCTGTACAATAAATCCATCTGTGAAATTCCCTTGCTACTAAATATTCCACGGTAAACTGTTAGTGGTATTATAACAAAGTGGTAGCAACTGGAAACAACAGCAACTCAGCCATGAAGTGGTAGGCCATGTAAAATGACAGAGCGGGGTCAGCGCATGCTGAAGTAAACAGTGCGCAGAAGTTGACAACTTTCTGCAGAGTCAATAGCTAAACACCTCCAAACTTCGTGTGGCCTTCAGATTAGCACAACAGTGCATACAGAGCTTCATAGAATGGGTTTCCATGGCCGAGTAGCTGCATCCAAGCCTTACATCATCAAGTGCAATGCAAAGCGTTGGATGCAGTGGTGTAAAGCACACCGCCACTGAACTCTAAAGCAGTGGAAACGAGTTCTCTGGAGTGACGAATCACGCTTCTGTGTCTGGCAATCTGATGGACGTGTCTGGCGGTTGCCAAGAGTGGTACTTGCCTGACTGCATTGTGCCAAGTGTAAAATTTGGTGGAGTGGGCCTAATGATGTGGGATTGTTTTTCAGGGGTTGGGCTTGGCCCCTTAGTTCCAGTGAAGGGAACTCTTAAGGCTTCAGCATACCAATACATTTTGGACAATTTCATGCTCCCAACTTTGTGGGAACAGTTTGGGGATGGCCCCTTCTTGTTCCAACATGACTGCACACCAGTGCACAAAGCAAGGTCCATAAAGACATGGATGATCAAGTTTGGGGTGGAGGAACTTGACTGGCCTGCAGAGTCCTGACCTCAACCCAAGAGAACACCTCTGGGATGAATTAGAGCGGAGACTGCCAGCCAGGCCTTCTCATCTGACATCAGTGCCTGACCTCACAAATGTGCTTCTGTAAAAATGATCAAACATTCCCATAGACACACTCCTAGACCTTGTGGACAGCCTTCCCAGAAGAGTTGAAGCTGTTATAGCTGCAAATGGTGGGCCAACTCAATACTAAACCCTATGGACTAAGACTGGGATGCCATTAAAGTTCCAGTGAGTGTAAAGGCAGGCGTCCCAATACTTTTGGCAATATGGTGAATATCTAAAGTAAAAACTTTTCCCCGTTTGAGTAAGGGTGGTTAAGAGAGTCTTTTTTGCCCTCTGCATCTCATTAGCGAGGTTTCCCTGCCATGTCCTGTCTACTCAACAGGAAGGGGACATCTTTCCAAAATGAAAGAAATAAATTCCCACGTAGCCTCCCTAGCAGTATGATTATATCCATATTTCTGTGCTCAAAGCGGTACATATTTTTGCATGGAAATATGTAGTTTTTTTTTATTGTAGGCCTATAATTTTTAGGAATAACTCACTGAAATCTGTCCAAACAAGAGTCTAGTAAACATCCCGGGTATGTTAAAATTTGAAACCCGAAAAACACGAAATCATAAAAAATAATAAATTTAATTAAATATAATCAAACCAAAAACACTGAAATTTGAAATATAGCACCAAGTTCGCACATCACTGAGCAAAGTCGCAAAATCGTTTTCAGTGTCTGATGATGAATTTCCCCACGAATCATCACTCAATTCTGCAAGTGGTTCTGATTTACTATCGCTGTTCTCTAGCTGGTCTAAAACCGCTTTTGACCTAAAGGGATGCTTTTTGGATGCCATGGACATTTCTCCGATTCAAGGCAGAAAGAACAGTAAAAATGCAGCCAGGGCACAGGACAAAGCACTAGGGAGAAAATGTATGTGAAATGGTTTGATACAGTAATGTTTTACTATGTGAATTTAGTGAAGGTTACTTTTACAACTTTCAAATTTCCCGCCAGTTCCGTCCCCGTACGTCCTGACGTCGCAGGGAACGGAACCCAAAAGACAGATGCCGGCACTGGCCGGAGGACATTGCCGGGGACACTGCAGGAGGGACATCACGGGAGCAAAGGACAAGGTAAGTGAAGAAGAGATCCCGGAGCAGCGCTGCAAGGTATTCCCGAGTGTAGCTCGGGGTTACCGCTTGTGGTGCTGAAACTTTACCCCAAGCCCGAGCAGCGCAATTCTGACATTTTTTTACAAACATGTTAAAATCTGCATTGTTTTGGAAGAAAATTATTTAAAATCCCCCAAGATTATATAGGTTTTTAAAATCAGAGGCCCTGGAAAATACAATGGTGGCTGTTGCATTTTTTCACAATATTTACTTTGTTTTCACCTGGTGATCTGGGGAATAACACACCACCTGTGTTAAGAGTACCTAAACTCTGCATGAAGGAGCAGAGACACCTTTGAACAGGAGCATCGTCAGTCTTGGGTGAGGGTAGGGTTAGATTTAATAGCAGATTTAGATATACTAACAAACTGAAGCCAAACTTCAGCTAACACTTTATAAACAACCACAGCAAACAGTTTTGTTCTTTTTGGGACAAGGATTTTACATAAATAAACGCTGTGTATTGTAGGTACCCCTCGCCGAGGTAAATGGTTTGTCTCAACCATCTAACTGTTAACATCTGCAGCACAGCTTGTTCTGTTGAAAAACAACAGACTTACTTGCTGGATCACCCACTGAAAAAGCAAGAAAGAGAACCTAAAAAAGAAAACGAGTGCAGCCAGCACATCTACGAATTGGTAAGCTGCAATATAATAAAATGTTTTCTCTTGGGTTTATTGCCATTTTAAGTAATAATTCCTCTGAATTGCCTTGAGAAGTAGTATACCAGTAGAAATGTGATTTTCACATGTCTGACTACACTATAGCTTACATTCCAGGCAGCATGTATGTTTCGACTTAGAACAATTGGGTTGGATCTGTTCATCCCCCTGGTGTTAGCACACTTGCCCGTGGAAGGGATAATCAGGTTATCAAGAGACATTTTGCAAAATTGAAAAGGCACACCCTTCAGATGCAGCCACAGCCTGTTTCCGCCCTGCAATTGTTTTCTATAGATTTTTTATTGGAACAGTCATATATGAGGTGGTGAAAGCAAATATCCTTGGAGGTAACCATTTTCATAACTCAATGACAACACCAATAACCAGTCACATTTTGTGTTTCAATTAAGTTTTTAATAAGAATTAACAGTGTAATTCAATTAAAGAACACAGCAGTAGATAAGCAGTAGAAGTAAACACTGTCATGAAGTGAAAGCTCATAGTTATACATCTCTTTACAGAGGATAAAACCCCAGAGAAAGCCACAACCAGTCAAATTTTCTTGCCTATGTACAAAAAAAAAAAAAAAATTGGAGTGGTACTAACTTCTAGAATAGTTTATAATAGGTTATGTGGACATGATCCAGTAAGGCCTTTGATTGTATGAGCTTCTTTTTGTGCCTTTTCCATTAGAACAAGCAGTCTCTAAACTAGGGGTCTCCAAACTAAGCAAATTAAGATGATTGACCCCTTTAAGAAGTTTATAGTGGTATGAACTCCCACTAATGTAGGCCATAGACGGTTCGTTTATCGGTCGAATTTTTGTCCAAAAGAATAATCAGTCGATATTCGCACCGTTAGTGGGGCAATGTCATCGGCCGATTTCGCGGTTCCTCCTCATTTCTTTTATCGGTCATGCTGGAAAATTTACGAAAAACGTCCAATTTTCGTAATCATTGGTGGCAACAGAACGACTGGTTTTTCGCGCCAAAAATTCGGCCAATAAACAAACCGTCTATTGCCTGCATAACACATACTAAAATTAAACAAAACAAAAAAACAACAAAAAAAATGTTGTAGACATTTTTTGGAGCAGGCCTTAGGGACTCTGTAAACTATTCTGAACATTTTGAAAATTTGAGGAAATGCAATCTGTTCACACTGACAGATTGGGGACAGACGGAGTTTACAAAACATTAATAAACAATGAAGAAACACAAAATAACCCTAAACTATTTAACCCTTTTTTAGGATAGTGTTAAAATTTAGTTTACAATAATGAGATATGCCAACATAGTAGAGATAGGGTTAAACTCCTCGAGCGCCTAGTCTACACCCGCCTATGCTCTCACCTCAACGACAACAACCTCCTCGATCCCCTACACTCCACCGAAACTGCCTTACTCAAACTCTCCAACGACCTGCTAACCGCCAAAGCTAATGGACACTATTCAGTGCTCCTACTCCTTGACCTCTCTGCGGCCTTCGACACAGTCGACCACCCCCTCCTCCTCAAAAAACTACACTCCCTCGGCCTCAGAGATTCTGCTCTCTCCTGGATCTCATCCTACCTGTCACAACGCTCTTTCAGCGTTACCTATAATGCTACCACCTCCCCCTCACTCCCCCTCTCTGTTGGGGTCCCTCAAGCTCTGTCCTCGGGCCCCTTCTCTTCTCCATCTATACCTCCTCCCTTGGCCAACTCATACACTCTCACGGCTTCAACTACCACCTCTATGCCGACGACACACAAATCTATCTCTCAACCCTCCACCTCACCCCCTTGGTCTCAGCCCAAATCACACACCTACTGAGCGACATATCAGACTGGATGTCGCTCCACTTCCTTAAACTGAACCTCTCCAAAACCGAGTTTCTTGTCTTCCCCCCCAGCCCGGACACCACCCCCCATTGATTTCTCCGTCACATCCAACAACGCTACCATCAAACCCGCCCTGCAGGCCAGAGTACTGGGTGTCATTCTGGACTCCAACCTATCCTTCCAGCCCCAAGTCCAATCTTTAACAAACTCGTGCA